TGAATAAATTACATGTTTTCTGTCCATCATATTTGAAAAATCATGGCAGTTAGGTGAAGTTCCCACCGACTGGAAAAGGATAATATAACCCCCATTTTCAAGAAGGGGAAAATGGATGACCAGGGAGATACAGACCAGTCAGTCTCACCTCTGTGCCTGGCAAAATCTTGGAGCAGATTCTCCTGGAAGGCATGCTAAGGCACATGAAAGGCACCTGCTGGTGACAGCCAGCATAGCTTCACTAAGGGGAAATCCTGTCTGACCAATTTGTTGGCCTTCTATGATGGGGCTATGGAATAGATGGACAGGGGTAGAGCAGTTAACATCATCTACCTGGACTTGTGCAAAGCATTCAAAACTGTCCCGTGCGACATCCTTGTCTCTAAATTGGAGAGACATCAATTTAATGGATGGGCCACTCGGTGGATAAAGAACTGGCTGGATGGCTGCATGCAAGGAGTTGTGGTCAATGGCTCAACGTCCAGCTGGAGACCAGTAACGAGTGGTGTCCATCAGGGATCGGTGTTGGAACCAGTCTTGTTCAACAACTTTGTTGCTGACATGGACAGTGGGATTGAGTGTGCCCTCAGCAAGTTTGTCGATGACACCAAGCTGTGTGGTTCAGTTGATACGCTGGAGGGAAGGAATGCCATCCAGAGGGACCTTGACACACTTGTGAGGTGGGCTCATGCCCACCTTATGAAGTTTAACCATGCCAAGTGCAAGGTCCTACACCTGGGTCGGAACAATCCCAGGCAGAGCTACAGGCTGGGCAGAGAAGAGATTCAGATCAGCCCTGTGGAGAAGGACTTGGGGGTGCTGGTGGATGAGCATGAGCCAGCTTCCGTGTTCTCTCACAGCCTCAAAGGCCAACGGTATCCTGGGCTGCATCAAAAGGAGTGTGACCAGCAGGTTGAAGGAGGTGATCCTGCCCCTCAACTCTGCTCTTGTGAGACCTCACCTGGAGTATTGTGTGCAGTTCTGGTGTCCTCAACATAAAAAGAACATGGAACAAATCCAGAGGAGGACCACGAGGATGATCAGGGGACGGGAGTACCTCCCGTATGAAGATGGGCTGAGAAAGTTGGGGCTCTTCAGCTTGGAGAAGGCTGCGTGGAGACCTCATAGCAACCTTCCAGCATCTGAAGGGGGGGCTATAGGGATGCTGGGGAGGGACTCTTCATTAGGGACTGTAGTGACAGGTCAAGGGGTAATGTGTTAAAACTTCAACAGGGGAAGTTTTGAATGGATACAAGGAGGAAGTTCTTTACTGTGAGGGTAGTGAGGCACTGGAGTGGGTTGCACAAGGAAGTTGTGAATGCTCTATCCCTGGTGGTGTTCAGGGCCAGGTTGGATAGAGCCTTGAGTAACCTGGTTTCGTGTGAGGTGTCCCTGCCCATGGCAGGGGGGGTTGGATCTAGATGATCTTAAGGTCTTTTCCAACCCTAACTATTCTATGATTCCATGATTTTATTGACTTGAAGGAGCATGTAAGGCAGCAAATGTTCCCTATTCCATTGTCACTTGAAGTACAAAAATCATATTAGAATGCAACAAGAAATCAGGAAATTCATGGTTCTTGCCTCTGTAGGTAACTAAAAGATTTAGTGGTCATTTGTATGATGAAACGACTGTTTCATTTCAAAGTATCAGGCTCCAGGTGCAAAATTTGATCAGTTTAGTGATGTGAAAGGTGCTGTGCTCCCCGACTCAGTTCCTAAAGGCAAGGCTCTGGGACCCAAGCATAGCTAGACTTCCCAGAGCTGTGGGGGCTGTTGCTGGCTATGGGCACCTGGAAGTAATAAATACAGGTGGGCACCAAAAGTCCCCAACATTTTCCAGAGCTTCAAAGGTTGTCTGTGCATCTAAGCCCTTTTCCTCCTATTTAGACACATGTGGCCAAAAGGATGATGATGTCACAGCCACCTTTCTTCCACCTTACAAGTGGAGCGCTGGAGTAGTTTATCCATGAGGCTCCATTCAGACAGATATCTGAAAAGCAGTCTTTCCTGCATGCCTATGGATGATGGGAATCTTCACATTTTACCTAGAAAATTATATTGATCTTTTTTTCTACTTCAAGTAATTAAGAGAGAGGAAAGAAAACTGCACAATGGAGGCTTCTTTCCTGTTTAAAGACTGATGTTTTACTCAAGTAATTTATTATATTGGTGTAATTGATGCATTGGAAACTCAGCTTCAGATTCTAATCAAATGTGGCATACTGGGAAGCTTGAAATATAAGTGATTTTGCTGCTGTAAGTAACACAAATCATTCATGATTGTTCTTTATGATGAAGCACTGGATAATGTGCTTATTTCCTTCAGTAACCTCTTCCCTTCCAATGACCAAAAGGATTCAAAATATTCCCTTTGTCATCATATTGCACAAAGTAATTAAACTAGGTGGTAATCTTATGGTGTTATCTTCAACCTTTTGAATTTCAAAATTCCTAATTAATAGCATAGACATACCAAAAGGGGATAGAGCTATAATTGTTTGATAACCTCATTGAGCTTACTTTGTACATGCCTGCTTGAATATATACATGAAAATTGATTTATTTTCTGCACTTATGCCTACTATTACTTTTCACAAAAAGCTATGGAATATTGATCCTCTCAAAGGCTCCCAACTTACTATTTCTAGAATGCAAACATTTCACCCAAAAGTGACAGGCAGCTGCTTTGCACTTCTTGACAAAACAGGCCCAGGCTAAGCAGATTTATTTATACTGAACCTCTGTGGTGGAGTGTGTAGGTGTACAAAAGGAACGTCAACCTTGTGTTTATGACAGTATAGCATTATCTGTTACAACATACTGAGACATGATAGGTGAATGGTGTCATTGGGCAAGGGTTACTCGGTGAAGAAATGATAAACTGTCCAGTAGAATCCTACAGATGAGTCCCTTGACAACATTTTTCTGTTCTGCTTACGTCAGCCAATAGCGCACCACATTTGGAGCTGATGTGAACAGTGAAACAGCTGGTGCTGAAACCCTACCTCCATGGTGTACATATTCTGGGGTGGTCAGATTTGACTAGCTCTGCTGTGTCCTGTGAAAGCCCATGAGGAAACTTGCCCATGGCATATTTGAAGTATGGTTCTGGTGAGTGTCCCCTTGCTGAACTTCACCCAAAAGGAATCTGCTTCACATGGTTAAAAGAGGCAAAGCATAGTGAGGGCATACAACTGGCAAATGTTTTGGAAAGAAACTCCTAAACTGAAATAAAAATCTAAGGTGTACATAGGGTCAAAATTAAAGCAGTTCCCTGGAGAAAACTCTCTGTCAGTAGAAAGAATGTGGTAGAGAAGGAAACAGGGAACTATGCAACTTACTTCAAATGTTTTCCTTCTCACTTGTGGGACTGGAGATAATGTATTCTTGATGCCCTGGGCTTGCCATAGTGGAGTAAACTGATAAAAATAAATTTTCTTTGCCTCAGATAATCTGAGCTACATTTACAGATGAGGAGACTGACTGAGACTCCCTAAGGTGCTAAAGCTTTCTCTCTGCTGTCATACAGTTCTACATCTCCCTTCCACAGGCACATACAGCTACTGTATACAAATACAGATAATGTTTGACTTCCTCTAGAGCACTAAAAACATTACATGTGCATGCCTAGGGAAGAAAAAATAAAGCCATTTATTTTTTCCAAATCTAAGTGCCTGAAGGCAAGTCTTGACTCCATACTGAAGTATTTCTATAAAGCAGATTTAGTTTTCAGTGGTGCTGGGTAGCTGTGCTTTTCTGGCTGTGGAAGCACTTTTTATGTTCAAAAAATCTGACATTTGTATCTGGCTGTTTTTACATGGACTTAGATGATTTCTAATATATTTTGAAAACTTTCTGAGGACCTCTACAGAAATGCTTTCTTATACTACCAAAGTTATTTCCCAACAGTCTAACTAGAAATACTGAGCTTCTGTGTATATAAAGATCTCTGGATATACAAAAGAAGTAAAATTTCCCAGCAATTTATTTCTTGCTCCCCTCAATACTATTTCAATCACATATAGAAACACTGAAAAAAATATTGGGCCTGCATATATTTGACAAGACCTGATGGTGGCCCACAGTACCAGTGAAAGATCAGAGAAAAAAAATCAATAATGTTAATGTTAAGCATAAAAGAGTTGTCTGTTACTACAGTAGCTTTGTTTCCACAGGAGCACTTTTACAGCAAAGACATATTGAGGTTTGCATTAAACTGCCTTTTTTTCCCCAATTTTTGTGCTTTTTAGATGCTGTTGATCTTAACATAACATATGATTGGGTACAACATTATTTGATTAAACTATTGTATGCATTAGCTAGTGGTGTAAGGCCAGTAAGGCCAGACTGACGTATGTACTTTTTCCATGCCTGTGGCTAAGAAGACTTTGTATACTACTCCCAATTATGTACCATATCACAGGGAATATTTAGAAAAATTATGGTAAGAGAAATGTTGAACTGCCTCATATTTTTCTGGCTGGAAGAGTTGGAGGTTTCTGAGAAAAAAATAAGGGACTTAAAATACCCTGAGAATGAAAATAAATTTCTCTTATTATTGAAAAGTATGGATGCCTGATGATGGGTTTTTAAGCAATCCTGTACATCCTTTTGGCATCCATTCAGACACTCCAGTTACATCCTTTAAACAGTACTTATCCTCTGTCATAGAATCGTAGAATTGGTTGGGTTGGAAAGGACCTTAAAGATCATCTGGTTCCAAACCCCCTGCCATGGGCAGCGACACCTTCCACTAGAACAGGTTGCTCAAAGCCTCATAAGGAATATGTCCTTTAAGGAATACTCTAACAACCTCAAATCCCTATTCACTGCCTGTACATCTCCAGCTTGGAGGGTGAACTCCCCCTTGCCCAAGGTATTTTCATACACTGCCCCTGCTAAGACAAGCTGCCTTCGTGGGAATGGCAGGCACTGAGGTACCAAGAACATCTCAAGTCTTTCTTCATGACAGGTTTTGCAGATTCCAAGCAAAACTTGATAAACCATCTCAGCTGTATGGCTTAGTGGAAGATGAGATATATGAGGTTCTGCAGACAACAAAGTAGGCCTGCTGGGATATGCATTCCTGCTTTGACATCTCAGTCTTCCTACCTATTTGACATGACCATCTTGACATATCTAGATGTCTTGAGGTGTCAATTAAAAGGAAAACGATAGGTAGTGGTTGAAGCAGGATACACTATAAAGTTGCCAACAAATAAGCAGTTTTTCTAAGATTGTTCTAGCTATTCAATTCACTAGTTTTTTTTCCTTTTTAAATAGCAGTTAATAAAGAGAAGTCCTTGACTGATTGTGTTGCAATCAGCTATTTTAACAGCACACAGTTTCACAACAAAGTTTCGTTTAGACATAAAAGAGGAAGCAAGTTCAGCATGCTGCTGTTCAGTCAGTTATAAAACCCCCTCATCTCCTAAGGGACTTTCTTTCTATACTTCTGTGCTCTAGAAGAGTAGAAATAAAACACATGTCATCTTAGAAGTGTATTTAAAAAGGAAATAAAAACAGAGTGTTGCATTTTGGGGTAGGACAGACTCACAGGAAGCTTTAAACTGGTTAGTAGACAACAAATTTCCTGTACCTGGTCTGCTGCTGTATCTTTGGAGGTAAGAACTAAAATATGCTATGCATTATATAAATGTATGAAAGTGTTGCTTTTGCTTATCAAAGTGGCTCAGTTCTGTTTGTGTGGGATAGGAGCTGGTAAAATGGAGATGTACTTTTTCTGGTTTTGCATGCGTCTGTTTGCAGCATCATATCCACTGACCACATGCAGTTTCTGCTGCCTTAAGGAGTGATGGGAACATTTCAAAAGTGCCTTCTTCACAACCATGACTGGCTGTGATTGCTATGCAACTTTGAAATACAAACAAAAAATTATTCCTCTGGTGTTTCTAAAGCCTTTCATAAAAGCATAGTAAAAATAGGTTTTTTTTTTTTTAGAATACTTTCAAAAGGGAGCCTTACCAAGTGTGTTGCTTTTATCATGATTCTAGTATTTTTATTGGTCTTTCTGTGCATGTTAGTGTACTGTCTAAATAATGTCCTTAATTGGGAGTACTCCATTTGTAGATTAGAAATAAAAATAGCCATCATAACAAATAAACTTGGGCATCGTATTAAAAAAGAATTAATAGAAAAAAAGCTTAGACTTCTCTCAGACCAAGATGAGATTAAAAGGTATAAACAAGTGTTATCAGTTTATTTTCCTGATTCATAGCAAATTTCTTCATTTGCTTCTAATTCACAGCTTGACATGGGTACACACATACAACATGCGCCCTGCCCCCTCGTTTTTATACTCTACAGCAGATGTGACTAATGTTTCAATGTTCGTTAGTGCATCATTTCCCTTTGATCTCTTGGGAAACCCCTTCAGCCTTTTCTATCTGTCTTGCTTTAGCATTTATTCTTTTCACTTCTAGCAAGTGTATTCTCTTCTGTAAGAGTGCACATGAATTTATTTCCCCTTTACTTCAACTGCTTAGATACAAAATACGGCAGTCCATATAGTTCAGTTATTATAACAACTAACAACTCATTAAAATAAACACACAAATCCCAAAACATGAGATTATTTCCACTCCAGAAAGACATGAAAGCAAAGGGTACTGGAAGGTGTCCCTAGCTATTGCAGAATTGGAACTAGATGATCTCTAAGGTTCCTTCCAACCCAAACCATTCTATGATTCAATGGTTATGAATGTAGTGCCCAATTCTGTCCTGCCTCACATTTCATGTTGTTGCTTACAGCTGCAGATATGAGATGTAAAATGTTGTCAAACGAGATGGATATCCTAAACCAACTTTGTATGGGTATGGATGACTAAGAAAAATGTGCAAAATTATGAACCAGACTTGCTCTGTATGAAGTTTCAAGGAACTTGAACTGATAAAACAGACTTAGATGGGAAATTATTTGAGAGCTCAAGAAACTGTATTTACCCGCATACAATCTTAATTGTATTTTCATGGAAGCCTGTGCCCCCAACTCCACTGAAATATAAAACAACACTCAAACAATACAATAAGAATATATTTTTTCCCTAAATGAAAGAAATCAGGTGCTCCCAAAGCTCACTGCCATCCATTTAGCATGATTAAAAATGGGTAGACACTTGTATAACAAGAGCATTCAACAGTACAAAAGACATAAAGTATCACGTGTTCCTGGGGAAGATGCCCCGCCTCACTTGCTCGCTTCAGCCTGTCCTTCAAGAGCATTCCTGCATACTCTTGAAATACAGGATTATTATCCTCGCAAACCTACTCTGATTGTTGTCCCCAAGTCAGCTTATATTCCCCTGTGGGAGAGGTACTCCTAGCATTCCTGCATCTCTTGAACTGTTGACATATGAATAAAGAAGAGCAGGGCTTGTGTTTTCTTCTGTGAGAAGACCGAACGGTCAGGACAGAGAGCTGTGGGGAGAGAACAAGCGGGCTTTGGCTCATGACTGTTGCTGAAAGAACTTCACAGTGCAGTCCCACAGGTCCCAGAACTTCCAGAGCAGCAGCAGCAGGAAGAGGAAATTACACAAGTAGCATATAGTATTTGGGTGCTTCTGCAAAACTGCCTCTTAGCTATTCCTCTTCTGCCATGGACAAAGTGGGCCAACACCTATCTCAAGTAGCAACTGCGCTTACCATAGAATCATAGAACAGCCCAGTTTGAAAAGGACCTTGAAATATCATCTGGTCCAACCTTTCATGGGGAAGGGAACGTAGATGAGATTATCTAGCACCCTGTCCATCTGGAAAACCTCCAGCAATGATGACTCCACCAGGTCACTTTCACCAAGGCTTTTCCATAGCCACGTCATATTCTAGCCTGTACTGGGCATTTGGTTGTGTTGTCCCATGTGCAGGACCTTGCGCTTGTCTTTGTTGACAAAGACAGTTCTTCCTGACACACTTTGCCATCCCGTCCAGGTCTCTCTGTAAGATGGCTTTCCCTCCTGATGCACCCACCTCACCACACAGTTTCCTGTCATCAGCATTACCTGTACCCGAGCCAGCCCCAGGCACTGGAGACAGCCCTTCTCAAATGGGTTTCAGGCATTAAGGAAAGGCTATATTCATCCATAGGCACAGGTCATTATACTACCTTCTTCACTCTCCTGATTTCCCTATGCTGGATGCACTGAGGCTCCCTGGGAGCTGTTTCACAGCAGTGGAAGGTACTGAAACATACACAGGCTTGCTCTCCAGCCCATCCTGCTTTCCAGGTGAACTCTTGCATGCATGTCATGCAACCTGAGATAGATCCCAAATCACAGTGAGGGAATCTTCTGTATCTCCACAGACTGGAAAATCGTTGCTTAAAATGGGGAAAAAATGCTACAGGTGGCTCCACAGGATTTGAGTTCAAGACAGGGGAACTAAAATCTCATCGAGAAGCCCATCTAGTAAGTCAGCTAGAAGTTAAGGTATACCTTGTGATAAAACTTGATCTCTAACCACCAGCAGCACAACTTTAGTGCCATTCAGAGCCTTGGATTCAGTAGGGATCTTAAAGCCAGACATACACAAACTAAGCTTGTTTCTTATATGAGTTTCCATCCCCTCTTTTTGCAGTGCAAAAGAATGTCCCTTTCCCTACTGCGCTGTGATCCCAGCTGGCACCACATTCTTTCCATTCTCCCTAGCAACTTTTTATCTTGTTCAGGTTTGTATATAAGACACAATTTATCATACCTCTTTGTGTACACTTCTCAGGCTTTCCTTAACTGTTTTGCTTACCCTGAGCCAAGAACTCCTATTCTGTTTGCCTTCTCCCAGACTCTAATCTGAGGTCTTTATGCAAACACTGGCACTATCTCTGAGCATTTTAACCCAGCAGACTTGCTGCCACTCAGAAAATACTGGCAATACCACTGAATTTTCCACAAAGCTTTAAACATTCATCCTGCATTTAGGCTTTTCTTACACTGAAGAACTGAACAAAAACCCCAGGCAAGACATGAGTTTTTAAGATCATCTGATAGTAATAAAGACTATGTCCAATAGAAACGAGTGTGAACTGTACAGTCTTCTCTTTCTGTCTCTAACAGGCTTGAACAGACTGTAGTGAGCTCCCATTGCCAGAACAGTAGCCACACAAGGAAAAATCACTTTGTTCACCTTGCATGCAAATGCATCAGATCAGAATTATAAAAGGAACTGTTTTTCCTTGTGGAAGGAAAGTAATTCAGTAATTTTCATGAAGAGGGAAGTGAAATCTGAATTTAAGGATCACAAAACCCAAAATATTGAAAGACAATAGATAAAATCCCCATGCACTTGGAATCCTGGTACATACATGTGACTGAGGCGTTGAAGGGGGATTAAGAGAAGGGGCATGAGAAGTAGAATTAATGAAAACTGTCATCCTTATCAGACATAAAATACAAGAATTAAAGGTGACCCAATTGCGTGACCAGCAACTGGTAATGATTGAATGACAACTTGACAGAGCTATATGTTATATTAAGTACCAGAACGTCTCTTTTGCATTCAGGCTCTCAGCACTGCCTATCAACACTTCAATCAGATTTCCTTGCAGAGCTGGGAATAGATTAGTGCAACAGTCCTTGCCAGCTTCGAAGGGTAAGCTTGTAACTCATTCAACAAAACACACAACTCCTGAGCAGGATGGAAGCCTAATCCTTTTCAATTTTCAAGTTCTTTTGTTTCCACTCCTGTCTCAGACATCATGCTCTGAAACTCTTAAAATAAGTATTGCAGAAGGCAGTGCAAAGAAATGAAACCATCGGTTTCATTTCTCTAATGTATCACCTTATGACAGAAACAACAAACATCTGGGTAGTAGGAAAGACAGAAGTGTCACATGCTGCCTGAACACAATTGGCTTTGCCTACGTTGGTTGAGCAGTGAACAAGCCATATGTTCCACTCATTTCTCAGAATCCACATTAAAATTAAGCATAGGATTAACCATATAGGAATTCCAGACTCATTCTTGCCAACTTTCGTAGTGACTTTGAAATCAGGCCATCTGGGCCCTAGATGACTGTGGGAAAGGGAATAGCCTTTGCACTGCAGAAGAGAGGAACAGAAGAAGAGAGGGGGGTGCGTTGATAACCTGAGTAGCTCTAGCATTTGGCTAGGATTTCTGTGGTAGCACCTAAATTACAGGTAAAAACTAAAGCAAGGGAACAGAAGCATACTGCAAGGAATACTAAGACCCAAGAGTGATTTCCACTCCCCCCTCACTGTGTAAATAGATCACTTTTCATGAGATGTTACGTGCCCGTGGGAAAGCTCACACAACTAGCAGCAGAAGGGAGGATCCAGGGTCACCAAAGCAACTGTTTGGACACATTTAATTTTCTGTGAATATTTCCTTCTGAAGGAAGTTCATTTTCCCTCCAACCCTCTTCATAGTGTGGAAGTGATTTCCTCCTTCTTCCTCCTGAGGAAAGTCTTTTCTCATGCTGTCTCATTCCTAACATCAGCGTAAAGTCTGTATCCATGCTTGGACGGGATATAGCCAACATTTGTTATTAGTGCAGCATTTTGTACTTGCAACTGTGACCCATGAAATACTTTGCTAAGAAATGAGAGTCCATTCACTCTTGGAAAAGATAAGTTGAACATTCTACAGCAGCATGGGGTAGTGCAGTGTGTGCCAGAGAGATGACACCTCCCCATTCACAGTTTGTGGGAAGATGTTCTCATACTGGTGCTGCATCACAGCGTGTGTTGTGAAATAGACAGGCAAACTGCCAAATAAGTGGAACATATGTTCATATCTGCAGAGTCAGTATCCGTTAAGGATTAAAATGATATAATTAGATTAAATAGTAAATGAAGAGAAGTATTCATTATTAAAACAAAGACAAGTTATTTGTTCCTCTATCACATAAGATATTTTGTACTATAGAAAGAAAAGAACAGTTTTTCTTTTAACTTACTTTTACTTAAGATTTATTTTCTTTTTGCTAGACCACACCAATTTTAAGGACATCTTTCTCACTGACCATTTCCTTGGCATCTATTAAAAGAAAAGGCAGAAGTGGACTTAAGAACAATTATGTGGTAGTGGAGCTGCTAAAGCTTGGGCAGAACGTTTGTTGATGTGCAGATGCATGTGTGTCCTTGCTAGCGAGTCCTGTCTTTCATTCTAACATGTCTGTGCAGCTTTTGAGGCTAAGCTGCCTGCTCAGATTGTGGAGTGAGTTAGTGATTGCTGGAACCTGACTGTGCCTTTATAGAAACACAGTGCAAAACTGATTTCAGAGCTGATGGTGGTACTCATGACTAATCCAACAGTGAAAGAGCCAGAGTACTTCTGAAACATGCACTTTCCTATGCATTGCACTGAAATATGTCCCTTCAAAAGTACACTGCGGATTTCTACATCTAGGGTAGTCAGTTTAAGATCTTTTTATAGTAACTGGAGAGTGATAAGCAAATCTAGGCCACAATTCATCTCATAGGTGTCTTAAACAAGACAGATGAATTGTGCCTCCAAAAAGCCTTGCTTTTGCCACTGACATTTTCATGTCTAAAAGTTAGGGGCAATTCCAACTTGCTTTGCATACGGAAGTGTGAAGCTCTAATTTAACGATGTGACATTTGTTAATGAAAAAGGAACCACAGTTACAATCACTGATTAGTCTGGAACAGAAGGGTTGATATTCTCAATATGAATCCCAAATCAACATAGTTCAAGGCAGGTGACTAACCACAAAACAAAGGTTGCTTCAAAGCATATGCAAAGAAGGGGAACTCCTTTGACTTCTTACTGAAGTTAAGGGCAAAAATATGGATACTTAAGTGTAAGATATTACAGCAGTTATTACGACAACAAACCACTTGTTGTTCATCTCTTCTCTACTCACTGTTGTTGGATGTATTGGACATGCCATAGGTTATGTTATACAGAATATGCTTTGATGTGATTGAGTTAACATCACAACAGGGAGATTAACTGGTCAGTCATTGCCTCAAGTCTTTTAGAAGGACACTCTTGTTCACGTCCAAATTGGAAACATCTCTTTGCAGCTAGTACCAGACTTTTCAGCATAGTCAATACTCAGTGTGTTTGTAATGAATTAATGGTTTCTTGTCATTTTTCTGTCTACTGGTGGCTCCTTCCCTTTGGTGAAGGATGCTGTCGGAAGGTTACCTTTACAGAATTGCCTACCCTTGTGAAGACCTGAACCGTGAGCTCTACAGCAAGAGTTCGGCTGAGGAAGTGGTGTATGAAATGAGGTCCATTAATTATTCTTCCAAGGATGAAGCACAAGGAAAAAGCCTCCTTCAGAGATGCAGATATGCTGGCAAGTGCATTTCCTCTGTCTGCTCTAGAGGTAGCAAGCATAGCAGGAGACAGAAGAATAATCCACAACCTACACAGCACCCCGCAACCATGGAGCAGCCATCTCCATCTATGCATGTCTGTGAGGGGCTGACAAAAAAAGACACCTACCTGGTTCCACCTTCCTGCAAAAGCATTTGTAAGAACTACAACGATTTGCATATAGCTGGGGACTACGTGGTACCGATTAGCTCAGTGACGACAGATTTTACCTGCGACAGTGGCATCGGCCCCTTCTTGGAGTCCTCAGAGATTCCTCCCCCCATGGAGTCCATGAGGCCCCCCCCCACCAGTGACACCATTCGCAAGCCAGCCCAAGGCTCTTCCTCATGCTGGCGGCTGGCAAGCTTAGTGCCCCACCAGCAGCCCCTCTCTGACTCAGCCCTGAACAACTACCTTGAACAGAAGCTGGTGGAACTCTATAAGCAGTACATCATGGATAGCACAGCAAACAGGGCATCCCCCACTCACATCCTCGCCTCTGAACTTATCATGACTAATGTAGATCAAATCAGCACGCAAATATCACGGGAGAGGAATATGGAGACCAACAAGGCCAAGGACATTGTCATTAGCCGCTTCTTACAAATAGCCAGTGGAAAAATATCCTCAGAAATTAGCACACCTAGTCTGCATATTTCCCAGTAATAGCCACACTAATGCATAGTATTTGCATGTCTGCCGTTAGAAAGCTTTTATGTTCTGCAAGGTCAATTTATAGTTTTTTAAGACATTTTTCTGCTTCTTAAAAATGCATTTACTATCTACCATTTAAATTAAACCTTTCAGTATGTATTAAATAAGTGAAAATATCTGTACTCTGCAGCACCTATTGTGGAGTAGGTGATTTATTGGGTTGGGCTTTTTTGTTTTTTTTTCCTTTAAAAAAAAAAGTTTTTTCCTTAAAGGCTTATTTTAGTGATCCTCAGATGTTTTTAAAATGTTTTGTAGAAAAAGGAGTAAGAGCATATGACTCTCCTTTCTCCCCACATGCTTGACATATTATTTCAACTTTTCTCTGTCTGGAGTCTGCCATCCTACCTTGGGGTCTGTGCGCAGCGGAGGCTTGCACCCACACAAGCACAATCCCAGTGGTGGCAGAGCCACACAAATACAGAATTTAGGATGTTATCTAGTTCATCTCCCTGCCCCAAGTGGCTTTGCTTAAAACATCCCTCAAAAACTTTTGTCATTTATCCTTAAAGATATTAAGGGATAGACACTTTATGGTTTCCTCTATACTAACCCTGATTGTTTACTTGGTGTCTTCCTGTGAAAAGTTATCAGCCCTTTTTGTAAAGGCAAACTGTTTCCAAACAGCGTGCACGTGTACCTGCATGTTTGCACTGAACCGAACCGTTGAAACAGTCGCTGATGACCTGCAGTCACAGACAGGCATCACCTCTGCCAGCTACTTGCAGACCTGTAGCTGCGGAGTTGTGGTGGGGGGATAGCAATGATAGCAAAGGGGAAAAAGAAAGAATTCTCCTTTAAGAGAATTGCACATTGAAAAGTAAGGGCTATTCCAAAGCCCATTTAGTTAATGTGAACATTTCCTCTGAATGCAGAAAGAAAACTGAAACAGACTGCTCAGCTGCTCAGCTAACCACTTCTTTTGTTAGCATCATTGCTGTGTATCATGTGTATAATATGAACATGATGTATTTATAATAGGGTGGCCATTTTTTGCAAAATTTCACTAAGTCTTACAAAAGAAGAAAATAAAAGGAAAAAGAGCAGCCTTGTGGCAATTGTGGCAAAGATGGTTACCTACTTTCAGTCTCGTGTAGAACATGTTGTCAATGCCAATCCATTATTGGTTTCCAAGTATAATGTTAATACTAATTTATCATAAATATTAATATTGCCTTCACATTATTGATTCCACAGTGTTGTTCTGGCCTTTGTGCTCTTACTTTTTTTTTTTTTAATGTAAGGCAAGCCTTTACCTATATTTCAAAACAAATGTAAAATAGTATGTTTATTCTATTGCTGCTGTCTTTTCAGAGGTTACTGGGATAACTCAGTATATTTTCTGGCTTGTGCAATGAAGGGGTTTCCAAAAATCGGTTGCCATAATAACCTTATATGTGTGAATCCAGAGTCTGTATATCTGTTGCCATAGCAGCCTACCCGAATACTATTATTCAGCAGTTCAAGACATAATTTCTGGCATATGATATTTCTAAACTGTGATCAAATGAATTTAAAAAATAGAAAAAATTCCTATTTTTAAGAGAAAATACCATTCATGGTAATGCACAGGCACACATGTGTTCTGTATGCAAAATCCATTACCAGCAAATCTCTCAAAATTCTTCCAGAATAAAAAGATACGCTAGAATCTGTGAAATGGCTTCCAGAGGACAGCAAAAGCAAGCAAATATTGTAGTTTTATGTCCTACAGATTCAGACTTTTCAAAACATTGGGATTTTGTTCATGCCTATTGACATTCACATCACTGAATTTTAGTAGCAAAAGATGTAGTAGAAAGCAACTTTCAGAGTTAAATATGTAAATCAATACCCTTGCTGAAAGATCTGTCACCTTCATCAGAGAACATAATTGACTCTTACACTCAACTCTACCCACTCCACAGACCAGGTCCTGGCAAACAAAATGGCACTTTATCATCTGTTACTTAGAAGTCCAGATCTTGATTTCCGCCTGCTGGTAGGGTTGTGGCTAAACCTGCAGCCAGCATCCGCTCACCACAACCTCCTGACTCAGAACCAACACAGGGAACAGCAAGGGCAGCTGGAGAACAGGGGCTGGGAAGCCTGCCTAGACTCACAGGGAAAGGTCCTCTGGCTTACTGGGCTCACTCCATAACTACAGTGTCAAAGAGCTGCAACAAGAAAGAGGGGCTTAGTACTCAGAGGACAGTGCGGTTATAACAACGAGCTACAGAGCAGGTGAGAAGAAAGGCAAGTCTTACATGTACAAAAACATGGCTCCTGCATATAGAAGGCATGTTTGATACTTATATTTGGTTGATCAATCAACTACAAATCATCCAATTCTTGTGCAGCTTTCTTCCAAGCAAATCACTTACTACAGCCATACCCACATTCAAGTAAAGGTTTTATTTTGTACTGTCAGACTGACATTTATGAATTTTATTCATGGAAGGTCATTATCATTGCAGAAGTTGGTTTATTCCAGAAAGACTGCATCAACCACTTCTTCCCCACATATGGTTATTTTCTTTTCACTGCCTAAATATAAATCCGCATTTCATTTTGAGCCCTGCAGTGTACCTGCTTCTAGCATGAATTACATACCAGCTGCATCCCATTATCTGAGGTAGTACAAAATGGCTTTTGGATTTAAGACAGTTTCTATATAAACAACTATTCCACTGTGCTCAGCTGAAAGTGCATTTATATCTCTGTCCTTCCTCCATTTAAAACTAATCTTCCTCTGCACAGGTGTCTTTCTAGGCGTGGCTGTTTCCTTCTAAAAGCACTTGGACAGCAATGAGGCTGCTATTACCATGAGTCAGGTTGTTATCTAATGCGATTATCATCTCTCTCCTTCTCCCTCCCTCTCCTTCTCTTCTGCCTCAGGGTCAAACGTTTAAAGAGAGAGAGATCCCAACTTTTTAGTAGCTCTGTTAAATAACTAATTTTTAGCCAGGGGCACATCATTTCTTGACACAAGCTTATCAATATGCTGATGGAGTTACGGTGTCTGGGGAGTGTGTGTTGGAGCGGAGAGTTTGAATTCTGCCCTCACAATACTTCCTAATAATATGTCTATTTTAATATGGCTAAGATTGCTTAAGAAGGCACAGAAAATCATAATGAATAATTCAGTAACTGTTTGGTTGGTATTTTGACCAGCTGTCAAGAAACTGATCTCAGAAGGATAGCTTATAATCACTACCAGCATACGCTAGCAGCTTCCTTAGGAATTTTTTCCAGAACATATTACTCACTGCTGATGACATGATTATAGCAGCTAGGAGTTTTGTTGTTTATATATAGTGTGACTGTGCCCCCAAGAGTCCAAGCCCATCACTGTGGCAGGTGAACACTACCCATGTGTGCCTCCAGGAAGTCTGGGATGAGAAAAATCGGGGGGGGGGGGCCGGGGGGGGGGGAGAGATAAAAGGGGAAAGGCAGTCGTCATGTTTGTTGCAACCTAGGGGTCCTGCATTTGGATTTAACCCCTCTGCTGGCTCTGATTGCTTATCCATACCAAAAAGCGGTGGGAGGGAAGAAGAAGGGATATAAAGTGCAGGCTGGGCTTTGTGCTGAATGCGAAAGTGAGCACATGAACATGAAATGTTCTGATTACTGTGTTCAGATGAAGGCAAAAAGCTAAGCACCTAAAACTGAAATAAACAGTGCTGCAGTGCTGACTCCACCCAGACATGTTGTTGAGGTTTCACCTCAGGGAAGCTGCTGCAGGGCAGGAGCAGCTTGGGATCTCCCACCACTGGTGGGTTCAATGGAGCACCCTGAGGTTCAGCTCATTCCCCTTTTGCTGTTCCTTCACAGCCTGAAGCAATAGAGAGTTATTTAGGATTATCCCTTCCCTAAGCTTCTTTCTACCATGGGTTTCTCTCGGAGATAGGACCTGTTGAGGATGTAACAGCTGCCAGGAGCAGTTTGGGCAGAAGAAGGGTGAAGGGATGCAGGTTTAAGTACCATTTTTTATCAGAATTGCTGTAAAATATCTTTGGTACTGGTGTGGACAGGGGAGATACCTCTTTTTCTCCCAGATTCAGAAGGGACTATTACCAAGTTAGGGAGTTCACCATTTTACAATGATGACTTCCTACAAATTTTAAACCAGTGCTGAAATACGAAAGGCTTGCTGCACTTTTCCTAATTGATGAAGTTAATATCTTGTCACACACCTAGTGAAATGTAGCCTGTGTGCTTGCAATAGCTGGTGTGTGTCCACTTGGCATCTCTGTGTTCCAGAAGCAGCCTGTCTCTGACAGGCTATGGCTGGTATTCAGAAGGGGCAGGAATTTCTCCAGCTGCATTAATTACTCACAGCGTGGACACAGCAGGCAGCTTAAATCAATGTATTGATATTTGCCAGTGAAAGTGAGCAGGGCTGGCTTCTGTTTGGTGGAGCAAGCACGGACCGAGGCCTGGCTCCCAAGCTGTGTTGTGCTTAGTAATACCATCACTGTCTTAGAAGACCATTTACAGTTTAGAAATGTATGGCAAATAATGACTAACAAGTAGAGGAACAGAATTTTAGATCAAAGCAGAATTTACTCTGTGCATTGCACCATTACTTCTGCTTTTGCTGTACTGGGAAGAGCTGGCTTGCTGTCTCCCCGGCATTAATGCTGACAGGATTAAGGTGACTTTTCAGAATATTAAGCAGGCTTTCTAAGGACTGAAAGGAACAATGTTCCTGAGGCTCTTTCTCAGGCCTTCTTACATCTCTGTCAAGGTAAATGTTGGATGAAGTACCTTGCCTGAAGTGGAAATTCCCTCAAGGAATATTAGTAGTGCCTCACCTTAAGTTAATGTCTGCTTATTACTGAACTCCTTGCTGCTGTTTCCCTCAGCATCACCCTCCCACGTTATCTTTCCACAAGACTGGTTATGGTGGGCTCCCGCACTTCTGCCATGCCGCAACCTCTAGGAGTCCCCCGAGGTTTCCTTCCCTCCTGCTGCCATGCTACCCCCTGTATGGTGGTTTTACATGCCACAATTGGCCTGCTCCTGTGTTCTCTCACCTCCTGTTGCCCCTACACTCCCCCTCACAGAAGATGATCCTGGCTCCCTCGAGAGCCAGGAGAAGGACCAATAAGAGAGCACAGATGGATACCGAGCATCTGTTGGGAAGCACTGGAGAAGGGTGAGGAGGATGGGGAGACTTCAGGAAGGCT